TTTTTGAAAAGATGAAATTATAAGAAACATAACTACCTAAATTAGATTTGCTATTGCATATAAAAAATTCTAAATTGCTTTAATGAAGATGAAATAGGGGTTTGCTGAAAACCTATTTCAGTGACATGTATAATTAAGACTATACAACCAATGTGATTTAGAATGCAACTGCTAAAAGCAATGAAAATACTATTTTCTATTCTAGATTTTATTTAACTTATTCATCTTTAAAATCTAGAGAAATCTCTTATTATATATATATAATAATATAACAATTCAGCATTTATTTTATATCAAAAATAACTCTGTATCTATTTAGTATAACAATTCAGTATTTATTCTGTATTGAAAATAATTCTGTATCTATTTAGTATAACAATTTAACATTTATTTTATATCAAAAATAATTTAATATCTATATAATATAATAATTCAATACAGTTAAACCCCTCTATAATCACACCTTTAGAATACAAAAAACTGTAATTATAAAGAGATATGTCTAATATAGAAATATTTTTTACAATATATAATTATAAATAATTGATAAAGATAAATTTGTAATTATATTAATTTTGTAACTATAAAGAAAGTGACTATAGAGGGGTTCATGCATTAAAAAGACATGCGTATAAACAATTTTGAGTAAAAACAAATTTTTTGTTTAAAATTCATATTAGCGAATTAGAGTATGGAACCAGGCTTATTTTTTTTATGACAAACCGATTAAAACCGGATTTAGTATAAGAAAAATAAACCGGTTCAAACTCTATTGCGAACCTTTTTATTATATAATTAGCTCTTGTAACTTATAGTAACCTTTTTTATAATCAAACAGAAAAAATTTATGAAAATTTGTAAAAATGGACGTGACACCCCATATATTTGAATATATCTATATTTTTTTCCTAAAAAATAAACTTCAATTTTTAAAAAAATTTGCCAAAAATAGTTTACAGATTGAAACTGTTTTGTATAAAAACTTTATATGATAAAAAAATATATATATCTGATATATCACATCACAAAAATAATACAAAAAGTTATTCGATCTATTGAGTGTTCGTATTTTCAATGAAATTCCAGACACCACAATCTTCACAATCTTTCTCAACAGCATACTCTGGAAAATCCCATTCCCATTTAGTCAAAATAGAATCAATAACAACTCTAATACGATGATTTTGTATATTAAGATGCCATTTATATTTTCCAATTACATCAAACATGCTTGACTTTCCAAGATGACACTTAGTTTCCATCTAAGAACAAAGAAAAAAAAAAAACTTTAACCCAACCGTAAAATACATGGAAATAAAAGTCATAAATTTAGAGAAGACCTACAGCATATCCACCGGCGTAGCAAGAACTGGTTACACCCTACGAACGCGAATGGTACAAAAAATTTAGTACAAGTTTAAATAGCTGTAAATCATTTAATGTATACTTACGTTGCAGACGCCCATGAAAATAGGATCAGCCGAATGTCCTATATGCCAGATATTCATTTTGTCATATGGAATAGCAGGAGGACCTGGTAAATGTAGTCTTCGGGCTGGTAATCTTTCACCAGGTGATTCAAATGCGACTACAGGTATGCCATAGGTAAGTCCAATCAAACCAGAAAGTGCACCACCAAGAGAATGTCCAGTTAACCAAACTTTAGCCTTTGGATATTCATCAGAAATAACCTTAAAAAGGTTCTAATACATAAAGTTGCAGAGAAAATAAGCCTAAAAATATATCAAAAAAAATCAACAATAGTATTACTCACCCGAGTAACTGTATAGTATCTATCACGCATGTCCACGCTATCTTGCAAGCAATCCAGATTGCATTGAAAGTTTCCAAGATGACAATCACACACGGTGCTCCAAGTGGGGTCAACCCTAGCGCAACAGCATGAGAATAATAAATTATCCTAGAAAAGACATGAAAAAATTCTAATAAAAATAATGACACATGATATAAAGCGCCAATTTGACAATTACATTGACTTTATCATTGGGTACGGTTGGTCCAGCACCAAAACCCATACTAGTGCCTTTTATTGAAATGATCAACAAGTCATTATTAGCATCACCAAAAACATGTCCTCGGACACCTTCTTTGTCCCAACCAAAGGAGGTGTTCTATTATAAACATAATGTATGAATATTAGCGAATCCAATAGAAACCATAAAAGCGTTTATTTGTGGTTAGATTTTTTCATCAGTCCTTAGAAAAGAAAAACCCACCCAACCATAATTTTCACCCAACTCGTACCAGTCTCCATCGGTAATCTCAGTGTAAGCGTTATAGGTCATTTTTGCCAAACTGATCACAGTTTCCCAATCTTCTACATGGGGTAACAACATAGGCGTGTCCTCCCAATCCATAATCAATGAGATTTGTTCATTTTTGGATTTTTCTTGGAATTCTTCTACAGTATGTTTATTCGAAGGTTTGACATTTGTGCCGTTGATTGCCTTGACAGTGTGAGTAAACGTCATGCCAGAAGCAAGCTCTTGCGCACGTAAGGAATCTTCATTGAAGTCTTTACGGCGTATGAGATTAGGAAAACGAGACGACCCGTGATGATAAACATGTTTAAGTGTAACGGTTGTTGCTCCTTGAGAATCAGTTGAAGTTCTCAAGAAATGTCTACGGGGAGGTTGATTATCGGTTGATTCTTTCGTATGTAATGGAAAAACCGCCGATAACAAGGTAGAAAATGTGATTAAACTAACTAGAAAGTGGGTAGCCTTCATGTGGAGACGTCGAGTGCCGTAAACTACACAGCAATATAATATTAATTCATTCTCGATAAATTCTACCGTAGTTATTTAAACAATAAATAATGAGGTTCCTTTTTGCACATTTCTTAATAAATCTTGACATTTGTAGAACATGATAGAAGTTCCCTCTTTAATTGGCTATTTATACTTGTTACACGATTTGTCACATATAATATTTGTTAATCACTTAATAAAACATGATTGATAACGATAATATTTTTTTTTTTGAAACGCTCTCTGTTCATGAAATTTTGTCATAGCATTATTATACTTGAGAACGAAAATTATGTACGCAGGTAAATTAGGAAATATTTTTATCTTAGTTTCCATAAGGCCATGCAAAATTAATTAATTGATTTTCATAACCCGGCCGGGTCGAAATTCGAAA